TTAGGGGCTTAGGGCTCAGGGGTCTAGGGTTCAGGGGTTGCCATGGGTTTGAGGGTTTAGGGTTTAGGGGTTCATGGTTTAGGTTTTAGGGGGTGTAGGGGTTTAGGGTCCAGGGCTTAGGGATTTTTTCCATGGACTTTGACCAGCACCGTCTTCTCCCCAGTCAGTGCCCAGAAGGTGCTGCTACGCACAAGTATTTCTTTGATGCGGAGCAGGTTTTGACAATGAAACACAGCGCTCGAAGTCAGGTACGGCGACAGCAGGCTCGGAGCACATTTTATAGATCTTCTTATCTAGCGTGAAGAGTCGGTTGGGGTTCAGTTACAACTTGCTTTTTTGCTGAGGAAGCGGTTCTGGGATTGGCTGTGCGGCTTAAGGAGTGCAGGGGTGAGGGCTCAGTTTTAACAACGAGGTACTACCGAAGCCTGAACTGTTGATGATACCCAAAACCCTTTTTCTATTTGCTGCTAAGGTCCGTACATCATTTGGAACCCTAAACCCTAAACCCTAAACCCTAAACCGTATCGTCCAACAAACTTGCATCGCTTTGCTTGCAGCGCTTGGGTCCCAGAAGGGTCTATCTGGGTGGTTGTCAAAATTATGGTCCCTTTTTGGGTCCTTATTATAATACGGCACCTATTATTTAGGTTCCCCCAAAAGGGGACCCTAATTTTGACAACTACCTATCTGAGTCTATCTCGGGTCCCGTGGCTAAACGACTACATACCTCTTTGATCCAAACAGACAGACAGACAGACAGACAGAGAGACAGACAGACAGACAGACAGACAGAGAGAGAGAGAGAGACAGACAGAGAGACAGATAGACAGACAGAGCGGCACAGCGACACGGACACACACACACAGACACAAACGCAGAGACGCTCAGAGACACACAGACAGACAGACACACACACACACAAAGAGACATGCACACCCCTAAACCCGCTTAGCACTTGGGGCTTCCGAGCCTACAACTGCCGCACCTGGAGCTGCCCGTGATAATAATGATGGACAAGATCCCGCATTCTTGGCATCGTAAGCAGTTAGCCCTGAACCCTTAACCCTAAACCCTACTAAATCCTAAGCCCTGGCGCAACCCTACAACCCTACAGCCTAGATCCAAAAACCGCTTGGGGTTATGCGGGATCTTGTCAGTCAGAGCGGAGCCGCAGCCGACCTTCGATCGACTGCGGCTCTCCTGTGCGGCCTGGAATGGAACGATCTTAAACCTTATTTAGGGATTAGGGTTTAGGGTTGGTCCTCAAATAACATGGGGTTCTTAAGGACTTGTATCAGAAAACCATAAGACTGAGCCCTAAAAAGGTAGGGCTTATAGGGTTAAGATATCCCGGGTATCCTCTAAGCTCTGAACTTCTGTATGTTATGGCCATACCTTCGCTGAGACTCGGATTCTGCAAAATTCGAAGCCCATAGTACAGTCCCAGCATGCCCGAGAAACAAGCCAGATTGACAGATGGCTTTCTAAAACCCTAAGCTCCTAAAGGGTTCCTTAAAGGGTCCCCATAGGGGTAAGGATCTAAAACCCAAACCTCCTAAAGGCTTCCATAAAGGGTCCCCATAAGGGTAAGGATGCGATCATGCTGCTGTAAGGGCTCGTAGCTAGCATGCAGCACCCCGCGGCGACCACGACGACGACAGATCAGACCACCATGACCACCAGGAGCAGACGAGGAGAAGAATAAGGAACCACCAGGACACCACCACGACCCTAAACCCTAAAACCTATAAACCCTACACACTGAAGAGACGAGAAGACCACCAGGAAAATCGAAGGTCACCAGTAAGCCTCAGGAGATCAGCGAGAGACCAGCATGTGGGGATTTCCGAAGTTGGGGTACCTTATTTTTAGGGTCCTTATAACAAGGATCATATTATTTGGGGTACTATATTAGGGTCCCCTATTTTCCGAAACCCCCATGTAACCAGCCGGGACCGATTCTCTGACCCCTGCCTCCTTGTTTGGGGAACCAGCGTGCAGCGGTTTGATGGTCTGGGGGTGCATGAACTGAGGATCCGGTACGCTACTGTTTTCAGTATTATGGTATATAGACCCTACAGTCATGGGGTCATAGCCTCTGTTTTCAGGATTATGGTATATAGACCCTATAGTCATGGGGCCATAGCCTACTATTCTGCACGGGTAAACCTTAAACCCCATCACCCCAGCATGATTAGCCTGATAAGGCTACCAGCGCAAAGTAGGAAGACATCCGAACCTACAGCCGTTCTCTAAATCCCCCCTAAACCCTAAACCCTAAACCCTAAACCTACGGTTTGTAAACCCTGGGAATCCGTAAGCCGATTTGGCTTTTGTGAGGAATGAGGGACTCGGCCGGCTTCCTCGGAACCCTCTTCGTACCCGTTACCCTTATAGGGACTCTTCATGGACAAAGAGAAGCCACAGAGGAACCTTTAAAGGATAGCTGGATGTTGTCGGTAAAAGAGCGGCTCCGCGGAAGACCTCAACTCCCAGAATCCCAGAACACCGGACCACACCGACCAGACCTCGCAAGACCCCAACCGTAGGGCCGTAGGGGTCTGTTCTGACGTTCAGGGTTTGAGGGTTCAGGGTGTCGTTCACCTCGTGCGGATGAGCTCCCGGCTTCCAGGCGGCATAAAGAGTACAACTGAAGACAGATTCTGTGCATTCACATGCTTAACAGATGCCCTGGCATCACGAAGAGCAGTGGAGGGATAATTAGCCGCTCCGGCTCCCTGAGACGGCGAGCCCGCGCGCGCGAAGCAACGGCACAAAGCAAGTACTGCAGGGTCGGCCATTCGTGTTGCCGTCTTGCGTGGGGTACGCCTCAACAAACCAGGAGACAGCCAAAAGCCTTCAAGTCAATAGCGGCTCAAATCTGACCTAGCCTGTTCTTTCGGAGAGCGACGACCCCTTCTGCTTTGTTTTCAGACTCCCCATATGTCGAGATCAGGATCAAAAGGTAGACCCTGGTCCTAACCCTACGAAACAGGACATGATCGTTTAAGGTAGGATTGTGATTCTCGAGGACCCGATTTGTTATGCTCTAACCTTAAGCCCCCAATTATAAGGCCTATCTGGCCTACTTGTAATCTGCAAATCCGCAAGCCTGAAGCCGCAGATTCTCAGGCAACTGAGCGAAGACATGACTCGACACAACGAAAGCAGCATGAAATACACGGAACATGCGCAAGTAAGCGAGCATGTAAGTAAGTAAGTAAGTAAGTAAGTAAGTAAGTAAGTAAGGAAGTAAGTAAAAGTAAAAGTAAAATTAAGAGTAAGAGTAAGAGTAAGAGTAAGAGTAAGAGTAAGAGTAAGAGTAAGTAGCAGGAACTCGAAGTAATAGGAATTAAGTAAGTACGTAAGTGCGTAAGTACGCAAGTACTTGAGTGAGTGGGTGCATGAGTGAGTGAGTGAATGAGTGAGTAAGTGAGTGAGTGACATATTGCAGGCATAAGTATAAATCTAGATATAATGTACATAACATATATATATATATATATATATAAAATACATACATACAAAAAATATGGTACTGCCCCATACAGTAACAGTCTATGATCGGGCTACAAATACATCTGCATTCAATCCCTTATTCAACTGTTCCTGAGTGGGGGCAGTATCCGTGATGTAACTGTGTTTATACATATACATATACATATACATATACATACACATACATACATACATACATACATACATACATACATACATACATACATACATCTATATATATATATATGGTAAATTAGTTAGAAACATATATATATATACATCTATAGAGACATGGATATGGATGTAGACGGAGATGTAGACACCACAATCCTGAATTCAATTCATAAAGCAGGGTTGTAACACTTCAGCAAAAATACACAACTAGACACAAGAAAACTATAACACGTGACAGCAAGGACACACAAGCCTCACACAACAAATCGAAACCCTGAACCCCAAACCCTGTAACAGCCCTTACAGATTTTAAACCCTGAACCGGTATAGACAGTATAATATAGGAGCCTTAATAATTAGAATAGGGTGTTGGGGCCATTATACTATAATTATAATAAGGAAACCGCGAAAAATATAGGTAAGTATTATAAGGCCCCTACAGTATAGACCTAAAACCCTGAAACATGGCTGTTGTAGGCCCTCCCAGCTTCGAAACGATGACGAACCCGTCGCCAGTCCTGCGCTCAACGTCTTGGCCTGCGGCAGGAATGATTGTGGCTTTGGGGTCTTTGAGGGTTGACGAGTTGGTGGGGTTCAGGATTTAAGGGCTTATGGATCATTGAATTTTGCGTGTTGCTGCGCCCAGGGGGTGTGCTACGCAAAGTCGAGAAGGTGTGGGTACAGATCCAGAACGCCCCCAAGTACATTTGGTAGGAGTTGCACCTCTCTGATGAGCATCGACTTCGGTTCTACAATAATTGCTTCTCAGGAGGCCTTGCTTCACAGGCTTGACGTTGCTTGGGCCTTTGGAGGCGTGTCTTGCTTGCTTCTTTGGCGTCTCCTTCGAGCTCAACACTTGTAGGGGACCCAATACTTAGACTAGGGTTTTGGGATGTACTATGCTGTAAATGCCTTACCAATTTAGCATTCTACATTGGGGATGCTATTGCAAAGGGGGTGCTCCCTGGAGCAGGACGCATACTTCGAACAGGAAATGCCTGAATACTGAAGCATACACTGGACAGCCCCTTAAACTGGACTCCCTAAACCCTAAACCCTAAACAACACCCTTATCGCAAAACCCCAAGATCGCCGAACGCCTCCCCTTCCTCTAGGGGCTTTGATAATTGTATACTATAATAACTTGTAATTACGTGGGGACGACAAGGGAACACGACTACCAAGTATTCCAAATACTAAACTGTTACTAAACCCTAAACCATTCCAAATTTATAAACCCTAAACCCTGAATCCTTAACCCTGGACCCAAAGCTCTACCACTCTTCGACGCCCAGTTGCCTGGCTCTTCCGGATTCGCCGGTAGCTTCTCAGTTGCTCGTGGTGGCAGAGCGGCGCCTACCAAAAACGGACCACTGTGTGTAGGCTATTGTAGGTTAAGACCTCCCTAAATGCATTTGCATCATGATACACCCCATCCCTCAACCCCCTAAACCCTAAACCCTACCCTGAACCTTTTTGCAAGTCCTTGAAAACGAGAACGCGGCAGGACTTCCCCGATGCGAGGATAAAGTATTGCATAAACGTCTGCAACTTCAAGCTAAGGTACTGCTCTTGTTGAAACAAACGGCATTTCGCTTTCCTACACGCCCAGAGCCTAGCCTAGAACCCCTACCTATACTACCAAATCCCACAGAACAGTCTGAGCTGAGCCCTCAAACTAGTATGGATGTAGTCGGAGTCACAGGTGAAAAGCCTTAACCTACAACCTACGGCAAGCAAACCAAGGGGGCGAACAAGGAGGCAAAAAGTTCGAGAGCATGCAATAGCAGGACACGGGATATACAAGTATCGGCCGCACGTTACGCAACAGAAGTGCACAGTCTCGAGAGCACGACCCCTTCATCGTCATTCGGGCTAAACACCTCGGCAATCCCCTCAGACTTTCGCTGAAGAAACCAAGTCTTGATTCGGCTGAGTGGTTCGGTGTGTTTGTACTGAGACCCTTGTCCAACCAAACCAGAAGTCTTCAGTATGTTTTCGGGGTTTAGGCCTAAGAGTATTTAAAAAAACAGAACACTATTTGTAATAACAACGAACTGTTTATTGACACTAACAAAATAACAATAAGCATATCCGAAAGCCGAAAACCCTGACATCCGCATGGCTGGTCGGTGCCCTCGACCCTGCATGCCGGCCCGGTTTCCACGAGCACAAAAGCCGCCTCAAACGTGTGAGGAAAGACCTTGGAGCGCTCCGTTAAGCTTAAGGGTTTAAGGGTCTAGGGGTTTGGGGTTGAGGGGTTTTATAGATTTTAAAGTGAATGCTCAAGAGGTACGTGCATGTTTTCATGTGCATCTGTTTCAGGAGGTGTCCGCTGGCTGTCAAGTCAAGAGGAATCGTGCCAGAACTAACAGAAGTAACACAGGGCTGCTGTAAGTCCAGAGTCACCACAAAGCACATGTCCTTCCGAAATCCGATGCAATGAATGCTAACACTTTTAGGCGATACAGCCCGGACCCCTAAACCCCGCAGCTCGAACGGATGAAACATAGAAACCGGCGGCAAGGGGGGGGGGGGG